GCTAGTATAGGCCTACTGATGCTAGTATAGGCCTACTGATGCTAGTATAGGCCTACTGATGCTAGTATAGGCCTACTGATGCTAGTATAGGCCTACTGATGCTAGTATAGGCCTACTGATGCTAGTATAGGCCTACTGATGCTAGTATAGGCCTACTGATGCTAGTATAGGCCTACTGATGCTAGTATAGGCCTACTGATGCTAGTATAGGCCTACTGATGCTAGTATAGGCCTACCGATGCTAGTATAGGCCTACTGATGCTAGTATAGGCCTACTGATCCTCTTCGAAGATTGGGACTGCAAACAACTCTATAAATGTATCTCTGGAGGATTATGAGCAAATGAACCCTAATCCAACTTCATCTAAGTCAACGGACTTGTAATGCATTTTAATTCTCACTCCAAACTTCTTTCATAAATGACACGACATATCATTATTATGCTTTGGATTAAAACATTTAAGTTTAAGAACATCAATACCAGATTGACCGGCACCGTAAAAGACGCTGATAATTTTATTTAGGGATTTTGGTTCCATTAAAAAACTTACTGAACGGCTACAGATCCCAAATGGCATTATGCAAATGTTATTTTAAGAAATGACCTCACGTATATGATCGTGGTGCCTGGTAGGTCTTTTCTGTTTACAGTCGTTAACCTGCTCAGTTCAATGGGGACAAGTACGCCTACGTCTCTCTCTCTCTCTGCCTCTCACTCACTCTCTCTCTCTCCCCGCTCTCTGCCTCTCACTCACTCTCCCCCCACTTTCTGTCTCTCACTCTTTTCCCCCTTTCTCTCTCACCGATTCTCCCTCCCCTCTCTCTCTTCTTCTCTCACTCACTCTCTCTCCCCTCTCTTTCTCTCACCGACCCTCCCTCCCCTCTCTCTCTTCTTCTCTCTGCCTCTCACTCACTCTCTCTTCCCCTCTCTCTGTCTCTCATTCACTCACTCTCCCGCCTCTCTATGTCTCTCTCTCTGCCTCTCACTTACTCCCTCCCCCCCACTCTCCCCCCCTCCCTCCCCCCCCCCCCGCCCCCCCCCCCCCCCCCCCCCCAACTCTCTCAGCCAAGGGCAGTCAGTGTTGTGCAACAGTTTCATCGGTACGACCCTGCTGTGACTTAGATCTACTTGTATTGTGGAGCCCTATCAAAAAGAGTCCTGACCCAGAAGTTACGCATCACTGACTGACTCGTATAACGTGACCGGTGGCAGACACGTACAGTCTGGCGGCCATTGTGAACTAGAAATTCCATTACTTCCATTACATTTGTTTAGAAGTGTAGGCGGGGTGGTTGTCGGGAAATTTGACTTATTTTCACAAAAATAAATTTTTAGTTGAAAACAAATTTATTTGCGGTACTAATTTCTTCTTAAAACTTCGAATATTAAATTTATACATTTAAACACCAAATTATCAAAACGATTTACTTGATATTTCTAACCAGAAAAAAATTCGATGCTTAAATAAATGTAGCCTATGTATTTAGTGACTTGGGGAAGAGGGCACCATAATTCTATAAACTAACATTGGTACAATTAATTTCTCCGTTTGTTGGACACCCCATGTTAAAGGCAAAATCTTTCTTACTTACCAACTTAGCATAACCTTTTACTTAAAGTTAAAGCCCTATTAATAAGTATAGGCCCCATACTCGAAAGTTTTCAGAGTGGTACACCCATGACATAAAGGTAGCAACGATCCCCCTTTTGTCTGCTTCATTTAGGCTACAGTCTTCCAAGAATTTTTAGTTGTTTACGCTCCCTTTCTTGAGTTAAAACAGACATTATTGGATTCAAATCCGGGCTTATTCTCCCAATGATCGCACGTTACGGGGGAGAGGGGGGGGGGGTCTGGTCAAGACTATAATGTATTTAAAACAAATGCAGGCATACTAAACGATAAATAAACCTTATTTCAAAACCACGAAATAATGCATGCAGAAAAAATAAGGCTTAAATTTTTAGTTGTTTACGCTCCCTTTCTTGAGTTAAAACAGACATTATTGGATTCAAATCCGGGGTTATTCTCCCAATGGTCGCAGGTTAGGGGGGAGGGGGGGGGGGGGGTCTGGTCAAGACTATAATGTATTTAATACAAATGCAGGCATACTAAACGATAAATAAACCTTATTTCAAAACCACGAAATAATGCATGCAGAAAAAATAAGGCTTAAAAATGAATGATACAATTTTTTTTTAATTTGATTCCTGAAATTTATCTCCACAAAGTATCATACGCTGAAGCCAAAGATTACAAAAGATGAAAAGCATGATATGAGTTGCGAAAATTATCGATTGAGGTGTTCATGCCAGGTATGTCAAAGGAAAGGTGCTTGGGCTTCTTCTTCCTCTCTTGATATCAGACACACACGGTAGTTACAAATGGCGTCCCCCGAAATGGACACAAAAAACACGGAAGTGACTGGAATAAAATAGTTTTGGTTACAGTTGGTAACATTTACAAGTATGTAAACAAGCTGGATTAACTCATATTCAAATAATATGTAAGTTTCTATCAATTAGCCAGAGATTTTCTGTCTTACTCAGGCGATATACTTTTATTTTTATACATTATATATGATATATGTAATTATTTATTTATTAATTTGATATTATATTGATATTTGATAATAAATTATTAAGGTCTTTAAAAAGTTCTTACTAAGTCTACTCTTAGTCTTAGTCATACTCATCAATCTGTTTTAAGTTAAATACAAATAATAAACTAAAACAGTGTTTGAACTTACTGGTGCTCCATGACTCCATGTATTTTAAATTATATAACATTATAATTATAATTATAATAAAACAGTCATAATTAATTATTAATCAGTATTTTAGTATTTATTAGTATTGGCCCTATCTTATTTAGTTCTGTAATAGCTTGGTAAAACTATAATTTTTCTAAATTAAATGGTAATTATAAATAATACAGTTAGCTGATTTAGTATTTAGTAAATTTTAGGCTACTATGAAAAGGCAAAGTGCAAAGGCAGCCATAAATCAGATAATAGTATTAATATTAATAGTATGTATTATGTATGCCTATCATTGCCATAGAAAGTACGTAGATAGTTTATAATATTACATTATCACTTTTTGTGGCACTGCATTTATTGATTTATCTCAGACCTCAGAGGTGACACTACTTACTGTCTCTAGAGTTAGAGCCTCTTACTCTACTCTAATCAGGGTCACAAGGCAAGGAGAACTCTTAGAACAGTCATTTAATCTCGCATTGATAATAAGTAAAAATAATTTAATAAGGCATAGGCAGAAGCCTAGACAAAAGGATTGAGAATTTGAGTATCACATCATTGAATTGAGTTTAACTTTAGGAACATTTTTCTCAAATACTAATAGGAGTTAAAAGCTTTGAATACTTATATATCATTCAATGTAGTGTAGCCTAATAGACTTGATATGGAAACTATATTGTAATAAAATTCCAATTTTTTTCAGACCTAGAAACTATAGTCAAATCTACTAGTTAATTAAGTTGAGTTGATATAGACACACATCACATTGGCAATTAGATGATATTTTTCCATTTTATGCCAGAATCTCAAATTCAAATCATTTAAAAATAGTACTTACAAAATTATATTGGGCCCTTTGTCATTATCATTTTATGTAAATGAATGGTGGCCTAACCCAAAGATTCCCAACTTTTTCAATTTGCATCGCTCTTGCTGAATCTAGTTTTTAGCAAGGCGTATTATGTCAAATTCTATGTGCAGTGTGAAATAGACAAACTTTTAGAAATAAATTCTCTCAACCTGCTGAGTCAAAGACAAAAACTGATGGTGTTTTTAAAATACAAACAATATTCAGTTGATGTAATTTCCAAAAAATAAGTCAGAACCAAACCTCCAGCTTTTTATAAACAATCACAAACTGTATCCAATAAGTTTGAGAAACAACTAAACAGTAGATGAACCTAATGTTTATATAGAATCATATAACTATTTGTAAAGGCATTTGCAAACATTTATTACTAAGTGAGATACTAACTGGTTGGCAGCAAGTTGGTTAGATGTCATGTTATATTACATCATGTAATTTTTAAGCTTTTCAAATCCCACCTGTGAGCAAGTTTTGTCTCCCTAGAGTGCCGCAGAGCAGTTTGGGAACCTCTTGGCCGTTAGCATCAGAAATGGAATAGATAAATAAACATTTGTTACATAAAGGAGTTAAGGCCCCTGTAGCATACATGGTGATGTAGTAGGTCAAGAAAAATAAACTATTTAATTATAATTATAACCAGATCCATTGCATGATTATTGGAGGCCTACCTGCATTCATAGTTGATAATTTAATTATTTTTCACATCAATAAATGTAAATGATTTTTGATTACGTTGTACATATTCATTTTCAGCACATAAATAAATAAATATTTTAACAAAGACAACATATCAAAATTTAAACACAAGACATCTAAAGTATCTCTCTTGCATAGAAATCAGCCATAAAAGAACTCCATTAGTGACAATAACAACTTGATTAGTGATCATTTAGATTTGGTAATTACTGGGGAAGCACACTGGTAAATTGGTACCGACTGAAGAACAAAATATTTACATCTTACAGTCATAAATTTAAGAGAGAATTCGCCCTGATCGAGCTGATCTCAGGTCTGTGATGAAGTGGGTGGGATGTATCATATAAAAAAATTTTAGGTTCACATCAGCATTTTCTTCAAATAGGTCTTCAAGTAAAGGATGTTTAGTTTGTGTGATAATACTAGCTTTTTGTGATAGTCTATTTAATCTGTGTTTGATGTCAGATGATGAATTCCCACCCCAGCAGATAATGACTGATTTTCTTTCCACATCACAATATTGGGTCCCTTAATTGAGGCCCCCTGCAGCCACAGAGGTTTCAGGCCTAAAGCAATGGCTCTAACCAAAACAATAGTCAATGGCTCTAACTATAACAAATGTATAAAATTTACATGTTTTACTGCTCAAGATGGCAGTAAGGGAGGATATCTCTGAAAACTTTAATGACAATAAAGTTTCTAAATATCTGTTTTAAATTAAAATCATACCCACCCTCACCTCCCCACAATGTCATGCGTCAATCAGTTATTGATTTTGAAAACATGCAAATTATATTGATCTGAATGTTTATGGATAATTATGATATATTTTAATATTACATAGCGGTTAAAAAATCCAGTTAGTTAAATGGTGGAGAAAGATTATGGCAACCGGGGAGGGGGGGGGGAGGGGGCAATTGATGAAGAAAACAGTTTTTCCAATATAATTAAAGTTGTTACAAATTCTGACAAATGTCACTTAAATAGATATGAAAAATAACAGTTTAACAATATCAGCTTGAAAATATGCATTATTTCTTTATTTTTATTTTGGATTAGATTGCCAAGTGTGAGATTTCTTTGAAAGGAGTGTTTCTTAAAAATGAAATTAATCAGACCAAGAGGTACTCTTAGAAAGGCAATTTATTTCACAATCAATCCTCTTGAAACAAAATTATAGGATAGATTTATGTATTTCTATTTGTTTAACTAGCATGTTTAGGCTATAAATTTACTAAATTAAAAGTTATCTCCCTGTCCCTTAATTATTTCCCTTGCGTCCACTGTAGCTTTAGCTTTAGTCTATTATTCAGCATCACATGATCATATTCATATATTCAGTTGAATTATCTGCTTTGGTTAATTTTGAAACCCATTTGTTCACTTTTTGGTATAATTATAAAATTGTTTTATTGAATAATTCTGACAAATGTCAGTTACTATTCCATTTATTTGAATGTAATTTCACATTATTATTTTAAAGCAAGTCAATACCTAACTGATTCAGAGTCTTGTTTTGCAAAAAATACTGTATTTATATTCCAATCAGAGAAAAAACTGAATTGACCAAAACACATCATAATCTAAGATGGCAGAGCTGAAACTGGGATTTCCCCTTGATCTGCACAATGGTATTTTTATGCTGATCTTGGCATCATTGATTGTGGCTGTGGTAGATTCAGCAGCAGTTGCCAACACACAGTGTAAGACATACAATTTTTTTATTTTAATTGAGATTAATTGAGACTGCCTATACATATGGGTGAATTGTATAGTTTTCACTATAGTTAGGCCTTAAATATCTATTGTACATCAGAGATATGAACAACATTTTTATCTATTTCAGTCACCATGTACTTATATTATCTCATATACAATTATCTTCATAAAAATATTAATATAAATACCTATTTACTGACAGCCCAGTTTTAATTGCCCATCTACTCTCCCGATGCAAATTTACTGTTATTAACTTTAGTTTTTTTCTTTATGTTTAATATATTTAGATTCTTTGGATCTACGATCGGACTGTATATCAGTTGGATTCTTAGATGTTCCCAGAGACCAGTTGATTTATGTGAGAGGACGATCTGGAGCAACCTCAACACAGCAACAGCTGTCTTGCTACCTACAGTTTAATCCGCAGACAGATGGGGATACACTTAAAATGTGGCTGGAGCCTGGAGCTGTTATTTCTGACTGTGACGTCTCCTTGGAGCTGCAGATGTCGAATTCCGATGTGCGTATAAAGTTCATATAACCTAACGATGCAATAATGAATTCTTTTATCATTGGGGCTTTCAGCAACATACATTTCACAGCATATTGATAGTTGGACAACGTTTATAAATATTTTAGCCACCCTTTCGGTAGAAGTGATCATATAATTTATTTGTTTTGTTTGTTATACAGGATAAGGAACATGTTTTTACAATTTAAAGACACTATGTTTTATGAAAAATTTAAATACCGGTACTTGCACTAAAGATAATCATTGAAAAACATCAATAAAGTTGCAAAAGCTTAGAGCGTGTCACCCCCCAAAATTTTTTCACAATCGCTGTTGTTTTATTTAAATTGAATTATATTCAATTGTATTATCACTGCAAATGTGTAAATAGAGATATCAATAACTTTAATTTGTCTCCAAATTTTTAATGCAGCCATTGGGGAAGCCAGATTTACAGTTAGTAAGTTTTGGTGTTGATTGGTAGTACAATTGTATGTGTTTTATTTGTTTTGCTTATGTGAGATGGAAAGGAAAAAAAAGCAAATGTCCAAATATCTGAATGCCAGACATCTTTTGCTTGACCTTTGAAAAAGATACTATTTATGAAGATATTTCTAGGTTTTCTGGGTGTAAAGAGAGGATGCATATGCATTTTCAATATGAATATATTTTCAAAGGAAAGATGCCATTTGGCACAATCAACTGATAAATGCATTTACAAACCATTGATAGTTGTCCATCTTAAAATTATAAGGTAGAATATGGTGAAAATTTTGATATAAGTTTGAATTCTAGAATTTAATAAAAATAATTAATGCTTTAGTGGAGGTAAACTTTCAATTTTGGAAAGACCGGCACATTTTTGTAATGTATTGTAAAAATAGAAAAATAAAAAAAGCAAAGAATGGAACCCTCTGAGGATTATAATAAAATTGTTGAACAGTTTACATCAACTAAAATTACATCTTTATAAAATACTACACGAATGGTTGATGCACACATAAAAAGACAGATTTTTCTATCAGGAATTATGTCATTTGACCTTGCTATTGATGTTTAGATTTGTTAAAAAGTTCAAAGATAACCTAATAGTGTGTATACAGGCCTAAGATGATATTGACAGTACATTGACAGCATCATGTCAGAAGTTTTGTAACTGAGCATATAAAATACAAAGTGAAAAAATATTTAGAAAAATTCTGAAAGAATCCTCTGGCAGTCTGGATTTTGGACATTTGTTGAACAGCTATCATTATAATTTTGATTTTTTTTATAGTAGTTTTTACGTAAAGTAACTAAACCTTTTATCAAAACGTAATTTAATTTATATTTCAAAAAATACATGCACACTTCAATTAATTACAATGTATTGTCACTTTTAAACAAATATAATGGGGGGGGGGATTCAATTGGATTAGAGTGAATCAGCGCAGCATTATGAAACATTTCAATAAATATTTAAATGTTCTGTTCATTTGCACAATTTTGATTTTGAGTGTTTTGGATATGACAACTAATATTTTGGAATGAACTGTATAAATTTCAGATTGCATGATATTTTGAATATCTTATTTAATCAATGTGCATTCTAAGTTGCAATTATTTTAATTGGAACATTTAGCACACTGCCCCTCCTCCCCTCTCTTTTATTTCTCATTCCAAATCTTGGGAACTCTATAAATAAAATTCATTTTGTCCCAAGCTAACTATTCTAAGACAAATTTTAGATATTTAGTTCGTTTTCTGAAATGTTTGAAACGATTTGGAGGATTTCACTCAAACATATTCACTGCTTTTTATATTGTTTTATTGTTATTAAAATTAATTTTGTTAATTATTCTTTTTTAAGTAGCTGTTCCCACCCAAGTTTGTTATAGCCAGTGTGTCATTCCCTTAGTTTATGATATATATTTTCATAAAAGATTTTACTTTATATATGTAAATATTTTTTGCCATTTTTAAATATTTTTTATGAAAGAGGTAGTCATTTTAGATTGAGATTTTTTAATTAAAGTCTAAGTGATTATTATTTTAAATTAATATAGCACATTCTTAAATTTTTCTTACTAGTGGTGCCATTTGATGGTCCCTTCCAACAAAAAGAAAAAGGCTTATAGATAAACATACATGAAATATTGTCAAGTTAACTTTGGTGCCAAAAATATTTTTATCTTTTTATACAACACTTTTTATAATTTATTTAGCTCTCAAAAGGTTGAAAAGGAGGCTTAGACCATCTCCCTGGATAAGTTGATGATTCAACATTAATAAGTTGTTGACCTTAATTGAGTTGGTTTAAAGATGAGGTTAAAGCCAGTAGTTTATATAATGCAGCTGTACTAAATAATTAAAAGTAAAAAAAAATTGCCTGTGTTCTCCATGGTTTTAATGCAGACTAGTCTTGCAGCACTTTCAGTTGTATATGAATAATCCCTCTTTGAATTGTCTTGAAATTATTTTCATAAAAACATGCAATATTAAATTATATGTTTTACATAAATCAACAGAAATATACTTTAGGTTGTCGCTCAACCGCCAACAGCATACCCACATTGGAGATGGTGAATGGCAAAGCATCTATTCGATTGATAAGAAAGAATTATGACGATACAGATTATTTTTTCCAAATAGGGGTGTCTGCCAAGAGAAGTAAGTCATATAAAAAGTACAATAGTGCCATATAAATCCTGTACTTTGTATGTTATTAATGAATATGTCAGGATCAAGATAAGGTCATATGTTTTTCTGGATCCAAAAAAATAGAAATGTGTTTTGATTGCATTTTAAATATTGTTTTCAGTCTTGAAAGTCAGAGATTTTTTTTTTGTTAGCTAAAATTAGTCTGTGAATAAAGTTGACATGTGTATGTTCTTGAGTCCACATTGGCATTTTGAACATAGTATGGGATTTTAGTTTAAACGATTTCTTATCTTTTACCAAGATCCAAGATTTATGTGTCTATATGATATCATCACATAAATGCAATAGTCATTCTTTTCATGCAGCAATTGTTAAATATTGAATGCATCCTAAGTGGGGATTATGGTTTACAAATGATTATTTTAAAAAAAAAGTGAAACATCAAGGAACCAACTACTTTTTTATTTGAGTAATTTGGCAAAAGTTTATTTTAGACTAGCCAATATACGGGATTGCATTAGGACCTTGATCCTGGTAAGACCCTAATCCCAAAGGGACCCCAAATCCATTCTGACCACAATCCCGGCGCCATCCCTTTTCCCGGTGTGATCCCATTCCCATTGGGATCCCGTTCCACCTCAGGACTCTCATTTCCGACATTATCCCTTTTCCCGATAGGATCCCGATCCTGGTTTGATCGACTTACCCGATGAGATCTAGATTAAATTTAATATCCTCCATTAAAACGGATAAAAAATTATTTTCTACATAATTTTTTATCGAACGCGAAATATTATAGAACTTAATTGAACTACTATAACTATAGTACATTTAAAGTGAAATGGGGGCCCATTTATAAAATCTCGTTTAAGTTATTTCTGAGATGGGGTCGGAGCCCTATAAAAATCATTCAGATAAATTATAGAGTTAAAATTTAAAATTTGTCCTATTAAAAAAAATAACAGTTATAGCTTTTTTAAATTAAGGAACTTTCTAGAAAATTCTAGATCAGCCCTGAATGCATTGGATATTATAAGTTTTAAATCCACCGATATTTCAATACGGACAATGAAGTGTATTGCTGCCACGCTAGGACTATATCCATCAATTCACATTGAAATTATGTTGTCTAAGCCTATTGTTATTTATATTATAATAAGGAAAAATTAAATGGGGCCCCCGGCCCCAGAGGGATGGATATGATGAGTTCAGTACCCTTTGGTATTTGAATATGGATAATAAAGTATATGTGTAATAAGTTTGGTCAAGATTCACCTACTCATGTAGGAGTATTAAGCCTATTAATATTTATATAGCTTATATAAGAAAAGATGAAACGGGGCTCCCGGCCCCAGAGGAATGGATAATATCAGTTCAGTAACCTTCGGTACTTGAATATGGATAATCAAATGTATGTGTACCAAGTTTGGTCAAGATCCATCTATTCGTGTAGGAGTATTTGTTGTTAATTTTATTTATATAGCTTATATAAGAAAAAAAAAACGAATTCCGGGTAAAAAGTTCATAACACTTTAAGAGTTCCTTCCGGATAATGATGAATATATGTGCCAAGTTTGATCAAGATCCATCAATCCATGTAAAAGCCTTTGTGGAACAAACAGACACCGCCACAAACAACAAACTTTCACTTTTATATATATATATATATATATATATATATATATATATATATATATATATTTTTATATATATATATATATTTTGTTTTATATATATGTGTGTTTTTGTATATATATATATATATATATATTAATATATATATATGTATTTTGTTTTATATATATATGTATGATTATCCTTTTAAAATTGCAAATCCAGTACATTTTGTAAAACTTGCTGCATGCATTACATCATGGACATTGAAATAAAATAGTTTTATTATAGCTTTAAATTATAAACAGTTTGATTCAGAAATATTATGTTTTTCTTATCTTATAATTATTGGGTTACTTGTTCATTCCCCTTTAATTTCCTTTGATTAATTCTTGTTTATATCACCATTTCTTACTCTGTAGGTGTTGCTGCTGTTACGCCAGGAGATTCTAGCTCCGGGAACACTGGAATGATTGTAGGGATAGTGGCTGGTATTATTGCAATCATAATCATAGCAGTTGTTGTATGCGTGTGCTGTTATCGCAAGCATCATAATGGTGAAATATTTAGATCAAAGAAAGATTTACCTAAAGATCAATCGTTTGGATACGAGAACAGTTCAATGAAGAACAGTCCACACGACTCTCTGGGATCGGAAAAGAAGCTTCTTCCGGGTGCAATAAGACAGGGAGAAGATTTAAAACCTAAATCTGCACTAGATAGATTTGGACCCCCTCCAAAACAGCAAAATAGAGTCTATGAGGAAAGAAATGTGGTAAGAACGAGAAATGGAGTCGATGGACGGGATATGGGAAGCCATAATAATGAAATTGGTGGTCTACAAAGGCAAGGTATGAGAAGAGAAACAACTGGTGGAGGAGCACCAGAGATCAATTCAGGCATCCCTAAGGCTCCACCTTTACTTTTGCCAACACCTAGTACAGCAAGCTCCAGTTCAAGTAAAATTAGTGAACAAAGTTCCCCATCAGCACCTTTCTTGTCTGCCCTCCATAGTAATCCAAAATTTAGAAAATCCTTTCATGAAAATGAAGTTGATGCAGAGGAAAGAGTCCGGAGGGTTTCTAACCATACTTCAACCAGCTCCATGACGTCCATAGATTCAACAAACCAGGCTCTCATAAAACCTAAATTGCCACCAGTGCCAAAATCACCTACCCGATCTCCAAGTCCCCAAAGGCGCCGTGACGTCGCTGGGATTTCTCGAGCTCGGCCATCCTCATCGGCATCGGATGTTTCAAAGTTTGAAGATGATTTAAAAGAGATCAAAACTTTACCATCACAGAAGCCAAAGAATGAACACTCTTTGAAGCCAAGTAGGGACTTGCCAAGGGGAAGACCAAAGGAAAGAAAATTTAAGGATGATGATTCAGACAGTGACAGTGGTAAACATAAACGAGACAATGCATCAAGACAACACAGGAAAACTTCAAACAAACGAGATGAAAAAGATTCTGATTCCGACAGTATCTACTCAAGGGATAAAAAAGATACTTCAAAAAGTAGAAATAAATCCAGAGAGAGGCAGGATGAGCGCGAAGGCAAGAAGACGAGAAATCATGAAAGAAAACCCGTGGAAGATTTCGATATAGAAAGTGGTCGCAAAAAAAGTAGGGATGGGGATAAAGAGTATGAGGGAAGGTTCAAAAAGTCAGCTGGAGTTCGAAAGTCAAAAGGCAAAGGAACTAACAAGATGGGGAGATCAAGAAGTACTGGCAGTGCTTTGGATGATCTAGAATCCAACCATTCGTATCCTCAGTCTAAAACCACAGGAAGCGTACGATCTCTTAACTTTGTTGAGGTTGATGATGAAGATCTGGATAGTAATTACATGCGTAAGTTCTTTTTCTTAAATTCAGCAAACTAAAGGGTTTGTACAATTTATTTTATTTATTACATGTATTTTATTTTTTAAAAAAGCAAGTGCACTTAACAATTAATTTATAATCCTCAATAATGTGTGTCATGAAGTACATATTTGACGAAGGATAACGTTTATTCCCATTAAAATTGAATTGTGATTAACTTAAGTTTTGTGCTTAACCATTTTAAATGAAAATGATGTAGTTAATTATAAATATAAACATAAACCTTTTTAATTATACAGATTTATGTTTGAAATTCTTTATTTGGACTTTTTCTTATTTATTGCTGTGACAAATAATTTAGCAAAGCTCAAATGTCTTACTGATAGTTAGGTCCCAAGTTATAAGGTTTTGTTTTTATTGATTAATTTACATATTTGATTCCGTTTTCCATTTCATTTAGCTTTCAAAAGGGCAGGTTCGAAGCAGTCTTTATATGCGTCACGCTCATCCTTGTATGGAAGGAAACGAAAAAATTCAATGGGAGAAACAGTCTCATTATCTTCATATAAGCATGATGATTTGGACTCAAGAATGGGAGATTTTGACAAAGGCAGTATGTCACATGGAGAAAAAGAGCGCATATTCAAATCAACAGGGGACCTGGAGATGAGACCGGCGTCTGCCTTCGTTGTCAGAGATTGTAGTACATGGACTGGCAGTGACAAGGGTGTCTTTGTACACGGAAAGAGAACCCACACAAAGACTAGGTCTGTGAAGCGCTACAATCGTGGAACACAGACCATTTTCAGCAGAGATAGACGTGACTCTGTTGGATCAGCCCGATCGGGTGTGTCTTCAAAATCTGGGATATCCACGAGATCAAATCATCGGCTGAAATCTCGAAGCAAAAGCCAGGAGAGCCTGCGAAAGCAGAAACGCTCAAGGGATTACAGTGATGATGACAGAAGCGAAGATAGTAGAGATGGGCAGCACAGAAGTCGTAAAAAGTCGCAGAACAAGTACGACAGTGGTGATGACAGGAAGAAGAGGTCCAGATCAAAAGACAAAGATTCGGACAGTGATCACAGCGGTTATAAACACAACAGAAAGCCGAAACCTAGACACCGTAAATTGACAGACAACAGTTTGGAGCTTTCCAGCTCCGATGATGATCACGATGACGATGCCACATCCATTGCTGCCTCCAGTGTGGTCCCAGCTTCAATTTATCAGCAAAATCAGCAGCCTGCTTACCAGCTTCAGCAACCTGGCTACCCACCTCAGCAACCTGGTTACCCACCTCAGTTCATTCCTATGGGTTATCCTGTTGCGCCATATCCACAGCCGGTCCCAGGTTATGTCGCAACAGCCCCGGGTGGGCCCCCGATGATGGTGCCCATGACTTTAACTAAGCCACCCATTGCTGCTAAGCCTCAAATTGCTCCACAACCAACTGCATCTAAGTGGGATCAGCTGGTTAACCTCACCGAAGGCATGAAAAAGCGACGACACCAGATGGGTGAATCTATCAATGATACAGAATCTGTCATGAGCTCGATGTGGAGTCAGCCCACCCCATATGCAAGCCATCCTCAAAACTACTATTCACCACCTTCCTACAAAACAGCCCAGGCAATGGGAGACCCTAATGCAACATACAGCACCAACTATCATGATTCATCCAGCCATCAATCCTCTCCTAATCAGCAATATGGCAACACTTATCTCCCATCAGAGAGCAATATCTAACAGTATAAAATGATTTTATTCTTCCATCGTTGATAATGTGGTAGACAGTGCTTTTTCACATGCCCAGAATTTGCTAAAACTGGCTGGTATTGTCCTACAATGTGCAAAGCTGTCATGGTGACTAGCCCTTTTACATAATATTAAACTGGCCAACATGTTGAGACAAGGCTCAATTTAATAAAAGTTATAATAAAATTATATTATGTACTTTGATGTACCAGTTGTGCTCACCTATAACTTTGAAGCCCATCGGTTATATTTTTAAATTGTTATTCTATCCCTCAATCAGTCAGCGCTGTTAACATTGGCCTATAATTTTCACAATTCCTCTTAATGTCTTTTATCATATCTTTCAACTTCATTGCATTTGTTCTTTCTGGCAGCAATAGAAACTAATGAAATAATGCTTGTTATTTTTTTCAAAGATCCTTAGATGCCTTTTACTTCACATTAAGTTAACGTTGAATGGATTTGAATTCTTAAAACATAAATATGCTCGATCAGGCTGTATGATCTATTGATTGTAAATGATTTTTAATAGCCTCCAAATTGGCAGAAATTGAAAAAACATATTACCATAGTAATGAGACGATGTAGCGGGTGACTTTTAAATAATACGTCATGAAGTTGATTTATAGATTCCAGTGGTTTCACCTTTCTAACTTTTAGAATGTATAATTTGCTATGCACAACATGAAATATGTATGAAAAAATAGTCCTGATATATTTGGAGCACACAGAAAGCAGTTATTTAACAAGGGGTGATGCATTATAATAAATGTAAAAAATTTGCTATAAAATATTGACAATGTATGTTCACTTTAGATGATTGAAATCATTAAAATTAATTTTCCTGTGTCATTTGGAAAAAGTACTTTAATAATTGTGGGGGAAAAAATATTTCCATGCATCACATGGCTGCTACCCCTATAATTATAATGCCCTTAACAGGTAAGTCATATTTTTTTCAAAAATCCCCCCACCCCTAAATTTATTAAGATCTTGGGCTTCTTCATGTCCTGTAAATAATTTAAAAATTGCATATGTGGGAAGTACATTTTCTGTTACATGATCTAACCAAATGTTTTAAAAGTTTGTTTTTAAAGTTATTATGCTTTTAGTGTCTCCTGTATAATTTGGAAAACCTGACTTACATGTTCAGAGAGTTACAGCGATTATTTTGTTAATTTTTAACTTGTATTTTTGAAAAATTATATTTTCTGTTGTATGATTACCTTCTACACAGTTCTGTATTGTGGTTACATGGAGTGCTGGGCCAAGAGCATGGCAAAAAGGGCACTCACTGCACTGAGGGCCAGCATATGGGGGGGGGGGGGGGGGTTAAAAACTTAAAGAAAGGTCTTTTTTTGGGAATTAAAAAAAAAAAAGGTCATTTATTGCGAATTAAGCAATAAAATGCCATGTACTTCGTAAAGACAAAGGGTGCCAAAATGTCTTTTTACTGGTCAGCCTGGGGCCGCACATTTCCTATATAATGGTGGGCGCCATTTTCAGACTTCACACCGTGCCCTGGTTACATGGCTACGGTATCAAGATTGTAAATTAAAATCACCCTTTTGCAGGATCTGATTTAACCTATGCGATTTATACATTTTCATGCAATTGATTGTTTGATATAAACTCATTTCAAGCCATTTTTTAAAAAAAAGGGGCAAAGGTAATTGCTTGTTTTAAAAAAAAATTCAGTGGTTCTCTATCTTATGTCCTGTTATGGCTTCACTGAGGGCCAAATTAAAAATAGGGCACCATCCAGAATATTATGGATATCAAATAGGTAATATTGCTTAAGAATAAGAACTAGTTAAGATCTCTCAAGTTTTAGTACTTTTTAGTAGACTGAAGGTGGCAGTGAACAATCCATTGATGTGGACAGGAGTTTGGTTACTGCTGATATGATAAATCTCATAGTCAAAAGAAATTACTGTTTCTGCAAATCCAAATGTGAATTTCATGTATTCCAAATAAAAAAAATTGTTTAATACGTTTAATGTATCTATAAATGTGTTTTTTTTAAACAAACAATATTCTTCGTAATTAATGATTACTTAAATTTTGTTTTTGAGATAACATTCCCTATAAAAAACCCAAATGTTTTGAATGGAATAGAAATATTTTATGTATGTAACAATGTATTATAATGCATTTTAAAGAAAACGGAACACAGAACAACTATTATCTATTTTTGTAGTTTATTCTAGTAAACGCTGTCAATTTTCTAAAATCTTGAATTATAACACATTCCAAAATATTCCTAGATAGCAAATGCATTGTGTATGTTATAAAATATTTTACTGGTATTTTTACATCAAGTCCTTAGCAGCACTTTGTATTTTATGTCATTAATCTTTTATATATTTGTAAGTTTAGCACTTTATGATTGAAATTATGAAAAACTTTTATTTTCAAGTACATATATTTCATACAATTTTAGCACTTAGATTTATAAGTAAAAAAATTTAATATTAAAAATGGATTTTTTTTCCAAAACTATTGCACAATTTTAATTTCCCTTTACCTTCATTAGGGTATTAGTTTAGGTTTTACAGAAAATAACAAAATTCTGATCAAAATAATAGTGGTCCAGGTTGATTAAAGTAATACTCAGAACACACATCATACAAATGTTTGATTATTTACAATAAATAAGACATTGTACAGATGGAACATTACAAAAATCTTCATTTTCAAATTTGTTACCCTCTTCATCCATCCCTACTTTTTCAATATAAATGCAGATGTCAAAAAATTAAGTTGTGACTTCTTTGCTGTGGCTCTTTTTTTATGGGACAATTCCATGTCTGAGTTCAGACATCACATCCTTAAGTCACTGATACTGATATTATACATATGCTTTTTTGAACTGGTTCATTCCATAAGTGGACAATAAAATATTTGGCAGGGAATAACCGATAATTTTTCTTTGTACTCTTTTAAAATATTGGTTGTCTTCTTTAATAACTGAAAATGTTAATATTGGATGGAAATTATTATCCACAAAGTGACAACATTTTTAACCATTTTCAAGTGTTCATACTAGTTAGATCAGGGGTGGGCAAACTACGGCCCGTGGGCCACATTCGGCCCAGAAACTGATATTATACGGCCCTCGAAAGCATTTAGAAATATAACAAAAATTACTTTGTTTTTAAGTTAAATAAATTTTACAAAATTTCTTGAACCGTTATGATTGTTTATAACATTTTTGATCAAATTTATTTCTATTTTTTTAAACAGTCCTAGACTTTTGTCATGTAATGCTAAAATGCGAATTTACCGATTTTAATATAGAGAAATGTTTATCGACATGTAAAAATTGGACATAATATACATGCGGCCCCCCCTATAGCTTTACATTTGTCAAAAAGTTTGCCCACTCCTGAGTTGGATAATAATTTTTTATTATGCACTAAAATACATAAAACTTTTAGTTTGTTAATACATGTATTCAAAAAGCATTAATTGATTTCTGTTGTGTCTAAGGTTAAAACTTGAGTAATTTCTGTAGTTTTACCTGCATTCTTAAGATAAACAGAATTGTTGGTTTGCAAGTTTAAGTAACTTTAAATTTTAAAAATAACTACTTTTTTCTAGCAACAACAATATAAAAATAGAACATATTTTCAATAAGAACCAATGCTACTATATAGCAAATTTATCTTATGCCAAACTGAAAAATAACTTTTCTTCGCCCCGCGCTAAAGAATATTTTTAACCAATATTTTTTTGTTAAAATGTAAGTTTTTATCTAACACTGCTATAAGATCATATTAATAAACTTGTTTGAGTCAAAGATCTCAGTGCATTCCATTTTCACTTCATTGATTCTCTGGAAAACCTTTTTTTTTTAACACATGAAATAGTGTTTCATTTTTTTAAATCATGCGTGAGGTGGGGGGGGGGAGTTTTGGTTATAATGATATTGTATGTTTAAAGTAGCACATTAAGAGAGTACCTCTATACTATGTTTATTTCAGACAATTATTATACAATAAGAGAACACGATTTTGTATACAATAAATTAATATAACTGTATATATTTGCACATTTTTTAATTACACTAATATACTTACACTACACAAATAGGTATAAAATAATTATCATTTTCAATACGGGCTATGCAAAAAAGAATAAAATGATAAGATCAAATTAATGTTTATTGCATTCATTAATTTTTTTCACACAATACCATACTCATGTATTTACCAACATTTTCAAGAATCTGAACATAATTATGTATAGTTCTGCTTTGCTTGAAACTTCATTATAATTATAACATTCATCACAAGCACCTTCAGACTTGAGCTATATATCTATATGAAATGGGAAACAAAATCTCTAGTGTTTTGTATATCATATTTAATTTTTATTTCATAACCCATTTACATAAAATGTTCTTAACCTATATGCATTAGTAGCAAGACGATACTGTCGTAAGTTCTAATAAACTGATAGCAAACTATTAAATATCTGAATATTTTATTTGTTTAAATCCTGTTTGAATTGTATTATTTTGTTTTAACTCCTATATAGAAATTTCTACTGTGGGTGCCAACAGACACACACACAATAGCACATTTTATTTTTTTCTTTCCTAATCAAAACCATGTTTTTTTTTAAACTGAGGAAATAACTTAAATAAGTGAAACAAAGTATGGGCGAACCTGAAAAATAGAACGCAACAAAATAGCGAATCAAGAAGCCTTCTTCAGTGAACAAACAACAGTAAAACCCATATGAAAATAAACACTTCGCTTCAATGTAGCATCGGAGAGGACAGCAAGAGGAATTGAATAGACCATAAGAATTCAAGAGAGTTAATACATGCAAAAGGGGGCTAATAGTAATAGTGGAAAAATAAGTCCACTTCGATTGATCGTAATAAGTTGATTTTTTTTAAATGGGGGGAGGGAGAGGAGGCAGTGTAACAAGTGGCAATATATAGGGAACGGAAGAGAGGAAAAGTAAGCCCACTGCGATTGGTTGTAACAAAAAGGGCGGAGAATATGCAATGTGGCAGCAGGTACAAACAATGGTGTAAATAATATTGCGGCAAGTACAAAGGAAACAGTCCTTTATCTGAAAACTACCCTTGCCTTGTTCTTGCCTATTAGTAATTGATCCAAGGGGAAGACTTAATTGTCAAAGCGTCTGGATAAATGGCAGGATCCAGTAGATGACCAGCAGTGTTTGTTTCGTTTTGGGGGGGGGGGGGGTGGGGGTCAATGTTCCCTCTAGGGTTTGCGGGTTCGTGTGCAAAATAATACAGTTGTGGGCAAAGTTTTACACCTTAAAATTTTTTTTTTGCAAAATTTAGTGTTTGTTTAGTTTGTGGGGGGGGGGGATTGGAGTCAATGTTCCCTCTAAGGTTTGCTGGTTCGTGTGCAAAATAATACAGTTGTGTGCAAAGTTTTACAGCTTAAAATTTTTTGTGTGCAAAATTTTACAGCCCACAAACACACACTTACATGGAAATTTGCTGCGCGGATGAACTGTTGAGCGGCGTCTGTGAGATTGATGCGCGGCCGCGCAGCTTAAAGGGAACATTGATTGGAATTCCAGTTAAGTTTTTTTTATTTTTTATTTACCCAATGTATAAATGTCATGAGTCAAACCGATTCAACACTCCTTCTCCGGGTTCGATTCCAGATTTAGCCTTCGTTTAGTTCAGGGGTCACCAAACTTTTTTCACGGCGGGCCGGATTACTGAAAAAAATGACGAGCGCGGGCCGGATATCATTCTGAACAATACTAGTCTTGCAAGCCAGAACGAAAGCTCTGGGAAAAAAGATGAAAAACTAAGTTTAGTATGCCATGTTAATCATCGGTGAGTGGCGTGCAATGCAAAAATAGCAAAGACAACCAACATATTTATTTACTAAACGAGTTAGCAAAGAAGGCAACGTTAGCAAAAAAGAAAATAGTTACATCAGACCTAGTGCAAACATATTCGAATCTCACAAACTAAGCAGCAAAAAAGGTTAGTGAGATTTGCGAAACTGACGTTTGGCCGTCAAGATATCACCAACGTTTGGTTTGGTATTACTGCATCCAATCAAAAGAATTGTTTTCAAATACTCATCAATCCCTCTCATTCGATGTGTTGACTTCACATGTAGGCTATATGATCGATTAAAATTTGGTTTTGTGTTTTGTTGACAGGGGACACTCAGTTGTGGATATTATTATGCTAGAATTCGCTGCCCCCCCCCCCAAAAAAAAAAANATTATGCTAGAATTCGCTGCCCCCCCCCCCCAACAAAAACGAGCTCATTTGCTGCGCTGACGTCCAGTAGGTTAAACTGTTTCTCATATTAATTTCATCAGTCCGTGTAACTTTATAACATTAAACAAGTATAACTTTATAACTCTAAAAATGTATAACTTTATAAAATTAATAAGTATAACTTTACAGCATTAAAAAACTCACCAAAAAAAAAAAAAAAAAGTTTCAGGGAGAATATACATATTAAATGAAATTTCAGTTTAGATGGGGCCTAAGACAAGCAGACTACTGTCTTGTATGCCATTTAACCTAAGAAGGCTAACTCTGAATTCAAATCAGGAGCCAAAATGATCGTGGTTCCTCAAGTATGAAAAAAAAAAAAAAATTAAGTCATCTTGAAAAAGGATGTTCAACGGCGCCGACAATGCCCTCTTTGAGCGTAAGAAATTAGCAGGACCAATGCGAGTAGCTGCGACGGGAAGGAGAGAGCTTATGGCAATTATTGCTCACACCGAGTATTGCTTCTATTTCAAGTGCTGAATTATTAGATGAGGATCAGTGCCACAATTTGAAAAAAATACTTCAGCTACTGTAGACTATGTCCACCAGGGGCGTCATTTCATTTTTTTTTCAGATGGGGGGGGGGAGAGGGGGGTAAAACCAAAACTTGGTCGGCTTGTTAAGTTGTTTATTACTAGAGGCGCCACAGTACATAGAAGTTTAAATAAAACCTGCAAATAAGGGGTTGGGGGCAAATGCCCCCTGCCCTACCCAAATGATGTTTCTGATGCCCATTTTTACGAAAGAACAAACCTGGCTACTCCTTGGGAAGATGATAGCAGCTAGAAATTATGAGCAGCAGGCGGTAGTTCCTTATGCTGAACATACTTTTTCAACACGACTTGTGATGCAAAATAGATGTTACATATTTTGCAAATCCGTACAAGTTCAAGCAGTGACACTATTATTGTTACTCACTTTACTTTCCCTAATTCTCAAAATATCGTATTTCTATTCTAACAATATCATACAGGGTGGGCCAAAAAAATTGAGAACATCTCGTAAAATATTACGCTACGAAATGTTCTCACTTTTATTGGCCCACTCTGTATATCTTGACTGCACATGACACCTTAAATCAGGCCTGCACAACTCAAAATGTAAGTAATACATTATGAAAAACGTGTGCGGGCCAAAAGAAAATAAGACAGGACTTGTGCGGCCCAAAAGAATAATATAGGTCAGGGGGAAAGCTATTAAGAACCAATGCGAGTAGCATTGAAAAAATATATATATGACTACACGGCCTCTTTGATTAAAGGATAAAGGTCGTCGTAAATGTCTGCCCATCGAAAACAATTTTTTTTTAAAGGAAGCAAACTTTTAAAAGAAATATTTTGTGTTCACAGTATCTTCCACTACATTTACATGTGTAGCTGCAGTGTGTAAATTGTAAACAAACTTTTTATTCTTGGTTTTAGATTTTCTTCGATCTTTAAAAGTAAGACACCAATTTATGTCAGGCTTATTTTACTAGGACTATATTAATTAACTAATTATAATATAGAAAAGTCAAATTGTTACTTTTTAAAAAAATTAAATGTACCGAGGTCTTAGGTTAGGGTATTGTATTTAGGACAGTTTAAAAATGAAACCACCCCGTCCCCATTTAGCCCATAGCCATAGCCATAAGTCATAAGCATGATTGTTACACTAAAAATCCACCATGGATCAATAAGTAAGAGTGCACGACAGTCGTAAGTACTACGTATACTATAAATAAGCAGCCATGGTGTATCTTAGGCACAAAAATCTAACTTATGTGCTCCACTTTGTAGCTTTTTGTGCTGGAATCAATTACAATATTATCATCGCGGCGAGTGTTCTAACTAATGGAGGCCACTCTGATTAAGAGTGAGACAAACTACAAAGCCATATCAGGGCAGGGGGAATCTTAATGAAATTACTTCCTCAAACGGCAAATAGCAGGAATAGCAAGGATTAGCAAGTAGGCTACTAGAACCGCTAGCATTTGTAATCTAAATAATATGTTAGTTGGCTTATATGGATTATTTTAGTTATAATTATTAAATTATTATTGACTTAAACTTAAAGAGTCTCAATCAATAAATGTTTTATTATTTTCATTCTATTTATATTTAATCACAGGAAAAAAACTAAAATATTTTGTTAGGAATTAAAATACAAAAACTATAGACTATAGTCTTTGATAGGCTATAGTATAAGTATAGGCATAAGCATAAGCCTATGCCTATGCTGCTTATAACCATAACTATAGCAGTAGCATTATATTTATATCTATAAAATTTAAAATATGAGTCATGACTCAGACGCAGAACAGGAATTAGACTAACTATTTTGACTGTTTCATATTTATAATTCATGTAGTCTGCAGTGTAGATCGGGCCAGATGCTCACTTATTATAATTTATTTCAAATTGTTTTAAATGATAGAGTTAAATGAATTTTATTTAAAAAAACAAATAGTAAAAGAGTGAGTAGGTTATGATGCGGACAAAAAGTAAAAGGCCGTAAAAAAATAATTGGCATAACAATTAACAATTAATATTAATAATTAAGTTAAGCTTATTTAACTTTTGATATAAATTATAATAAATACATAGTTTGTTTGGCTTTCTATTAAAAGTCAATTAAATTATTGTGGGTAGTAGCAGTAATTGGATTTTTGTGTCATAATATATATAACTTGAAATATTATATAAGTGTAGAGACGTCTGTAATTATGAAAAATGAAGGATTTCATTTGTTAAGTTAAATGTTTTTTGATAGATTTAAATGTCATCTTAGATGTGTTCCTGAGATTGTGTAGGGTAGAAAAAACACATTTTGGGCCATGGGAAATGCCTGGATCAGGAGATCAATTTCATGTTTTTCCTTATATGAGCTATTCAAATAAAAAACAACAACATGATTTTGCACTGAGACTAGATCAGTCATGAAGATTTAATGTAAGTTTTTATTGGTACACAAAAATGAACGTCTTTCCTGTGTGTGGTGCATAAGATAGCATTGCCATTACTTGAGAACATTGTGTGGAGTGTTAATTTTTTATGTTGCCAACTTGACGCCCCTTGTGAGTAAATACCTCTGCACCTCTGCCAGCAAAAGGGGTGAGTGTTTAAGTTTAGGAAAAAGACTAAGATATAATTATTAGTTCTTAAATTTGTTCAATCATTATAAATATTATTATCATATCCATGAATATAATATTATATTTATTAAGTAATTTCACACTATCTCACTTTTATGAATTTAATCATTTTCATTTCTAAAATATGTAGTGATGGTTCTGCCATTTGATATATTGTGGATCATTTTTTATCACAGTTTTTGTTAGATACTAAGTCTATGTTAGCAGAGCCGTCCAGTTGGCCCTGCTACCCATATGACAGCAGGGACCTTGTGCCTTTAGGGGCCCAAAATTGTGATGTGTAAAAGAAAATTATACTATAAAATTTTATTTCAGAGAGCTCAAAACAGCAACATGGCAGGTGGGCTAAAATAGTCATGCAACTGCTCTGATATTAGTATACACTTTTCATAAGTTTAAGACACATGGGTACCATTTTTTAATATAATTTATAATCTACTGTCTTGTATTGAATGGTAATACAGATTATTTTTTTAAAAATCGTTTTCACACTTCAGGACCTGAAAGATAACCATGGGAAAAGAAATTGAGTTGTTAAAAGCAATTAAAGAGAAAGATAACAGTAAAGTTCAAGTAATGTCATTTTAAAAAAATCAAATCAAATAAAAATAATAAAATATCTTATTTAAAGTTATTTTCATAAATTCTAGTTGTAATTTTAATTGGCAACGAAATATTTTAACATTAAATAATTAGGCATAGGTAAACTTTAGACCAGGAGTGGCCAACCCAAAAGACTTTGCAGGACCACTTTGATAGCCAGTAAACCATTTGCGAGCTGCATGTCAATACACCTTATTTTAAAATACACACCCACTAAATGCTGTATAGAAATGTTTATCTATTCTTAATGCACATAAGGAAATGCTAAAAAAAAAACAGACTAAACAAAACGTATATGATATCATTTTATCTTTTTTCTCGAGGGTTGGCCACCCCTGCTCTAGACTCAGCAGTGTTTGCCAGTGCCTTTTATTCACTGGAACATTTCTTCCTTACATCTTCTTAAAGATAAAAAAATATGGCTTTTATATTTTCACAAATAATTTTTGAAAGCATTTATTAATTTGAATACATGCATATTATATTAAATAGGCATAGCTATGAGGTTAGATAACTTGTCATCATTATGTTTCTAAAAATCATTTTCTGTCAGGATATAATCTTAGTTGGGGGGGGGGGGGGAAGTATTATTTGTTTGGTGTAAGTTTTTAAATAAATTTAGTGAAAAATATAGATAATCATAATTCATAGAGAAAGTGGCTAAAACTTGTACTAAAAAGTATTTCAAAAACAATCCAAATTCATCTAAAAATCATTTTCTGTCAGGATATAATCTTAGTTGGGGGGGGGGGAAGTATTATTTGTTTGGTGTAAGTTTTTAAATAAATTTAGTGAAACATATAGATAATCATAATTCATAGAGAAAGTGGCTAAAACTTGTACTAAAAAGTATTTCACAAACAATCCAAATTCCTTATGAGCAAAAAAACAACAACACAAAAATAAAGGATATATTAGAAATATTACCCACAAGGTCTGCTTTTAAATCTATAAATATGTTATTATTAATTCATAATGTTTATAATAATTCCTATTGTTAAATAATTTTTTCTCTACCAATTTTAGAAACTCCTATCAACAACAGTTAAAAAAAGGGATAATGAAAGCCTTTACTGGCAAACTAGCCAATCTGAAAAGCAAAACATCCGTGTGGAGCTGAGGCATATAAATATTAATACCCGGGAGTCAGAGACACAGTACACACCATTACTTTTATCTGTGTTAAATGGTAATAGTTTCTGTCTAACTGTCAAACTGATTTTTTATTTTTAAAAACCTCATAAGTGCCAGGCAGCAAGAAATTAAAAAAAAAACAACAAACTTTTCCATCTAATGTCATATTGTGTTTGAGAGAAAGAAAGACAATGGAATTTTGGGCTTTTGTTTAAAATGAAAATTGATTCACCAAAGTTTGTAAGTTTGACAAATACATCATTTGCTGTTGGTACTAATAAATCAAATTAAAAATACTAAAGCTATCTTACTAAAATAAATAAGCTAATTTTCACTCTAAATTTTTATTAAAAATTGATTGGTTATTGCAATAGATTGGTTACTGCAATATTTTCCTCTAAAATAATAAAGCACATTTCTTTTTTAATCATAATTCAGGCTCTAAAGAAATAGCAGAAAAGCTGATACACCATTGTGCCAATGTGAATGCTACAGATGTTAAAGGGTATGAATCATAGGCACAAAGCCAAAATAATGATTTAAATGATTTTTAAACATTTTAATTTGGAGATAAAATTACAGTACTAAAAATGGCACCAATTTTTCCCCCATTTGTTTTAGCAAATGGAAAAAGATGTTTATGAGTAGTATGACATATAATGAGGGCATATATTTAATTCCCTTTTGTTTTCTTTGTAAAGATGGTTAATAAATGCCATAATCATTACTTTTATTTTGTTGTGAAACAGGAATTCAGCACTGCACCTAGCTGTCTTCCATGGACGCTTGGATATCGTGGAGCTTTTGATTAGCAATGAAGCTGAGGTATTTTAAAGGAAAAGCATTGAAGCTTTTTAAAAATCTTAATTCTTTAACTTAGTTATACGAGTCCTAAGACTAAGGTGTAAAATTGGGGGAAAGAATTATTTTTCTATTTTAATCGAGGCAGCTTTATGTTTTTATTGAATTTTTTTGTTCACATATGCCACAAAAGTAGAGAAAGTTGTTATTCTATTTTCTCTAGGAAGCTTCACATTTTACTCACTAGCAACCCTGTATTTTAAGATAAAAAGATTACAGTAATTCCTTGCTAACTGCATTTTTTTAATACTGACACAATGTTTCATTCTGCTTAGTCATTATTGAAATAGTCACAAATTTTCATTTCACATCGGATCAGTTTTAAGTGCCAAGAATATTCTGCATATCATAAGTAAATTAGTAATTGAAGAAGTATACATTACTTTATTTACAATTGAGTGTTGGCTTCTCATACTTTGTAAACCAAGTTTACCTTATGTCACAAAAATAAATAACAATATATATGCTTTAACTATATTGATCTACCCTGAAAATGGCATCATCATTTAGCCATGTATATAAATGTTCTATTAGTTTGCCTGATGCACAAGTTTGGTACAATACTTTAAATTAGTTCAATCATTATTCACATACAGGTGAATGCTGAGAATGAAGATGGAAACACAGCGCTACATTTAGCATGTCAAGGCCAGGCAATAATGGATCTTAGGATTAAGATAATAAAAAAGTTAATCAAGGTATGTCATTAGAAAATCCTTTAGAAAAAAAAAAATTAACAAATAAAACAGATTTAATCAACCATTTACTGAGGACTTGAGTTCCATAACTAATTTAAATGAATTTTTAAAAATATCTTTTTGTCATACTACATTAGCTAAAGCCTCTGAAAATCATTCATAGTTGTAAAAAATTGTAATAGTTTAACATTTCATTGTTAAATAATTTTATTTGTTTAAAAAATTATTTAGATCTATTCTAAATGTAAAAAATATAATTTTTCTTTTAAAATTTTAACAATTTTGGAATTATCACTGTAAGTTTAAATGGGCGCTAGGAGGGTGTGGGGCCTTGGGCAAATTGAATTTTGCGGGGCTGTTGATGTTATATATTTCGCCGATAGGATATTAAGTCACATTATAGTCGTACTGGGGGCCTTGCTGGTCATAATGGGACGAGTCATAACAGATATTTGTTGATTCGCTTAGTTTCAGAAATTTCTATTTTTTCCTAAAACAGTTAATTTCCCTGGCCCAAATAACTATCATGATAACGAGTAGAGTCCCGCAAACGCAGGGTTTTGGGCGGTCGCCCACTTCACCATCACCAGGAACAATAACTCAACCCAAATCAATAACCTGAGAAAGCAAATGCTTTGTCTCTACTCTATTTACTGCTTTTTTTGTTCAATATAATAATTAAAGAACTGCATTCAAGCCTAGTAAATGAAATAGTAAAACGAAGTATGAGGAAGCTTGAATTAGGTTCCCACTTCCGGCGACAACAATGGATATTTCATGAGTTGTTTACTGTGCTCTGTTCTTTGTGATATTTTCATTTGTCCTGTGCGCTGAAGAAGGCTCTATGCCAAAACGTCCTAATCTTTTTGTCCTGTTCTCTAATTCAAGCTTCCACATACTTCATTTTGCTATTTCATTGTTCACTTCACATGCCTTATGGCTAATTGCCATCAATAGAGAAAAATACAACTTGTTTTATTATAAATTTAATAGCTTTTATTGAACTTCACTTTAGCTATGTAGCTCTATCTTTTATTTTCCAACCAGTTTCCCCACTTCTTAGACAGATAAAATTCCACTTGCTGTATATACCGTTCATAAGCAGACCCCCTTAGTTTTGGCAGAGAAAAACCTTAAAAGTTTGTAACCCATTCATAATAATATTCCAGTGGAAGCATTACAATTCTGAAGAAAGTATTTTTTTTATAAAATCCAAACTATTAAAAAAAATTATTGCATAAGTAGAAAAAATTAAGAAATTAAAAAAAACAACCAGTATTATGTTAAACACAGATACTCGCTTCTTGTATCTACTAGTATAAACTGTAACCATACTGACCATTTCTAAAATTAGGACTGATATTTGGCTCTCTTGAAGCAAGTCATTCACAAAATGAGGAGAAAACATGTGAAACAATTTGGCACACTTCTTTATTTTGACCATGGTTAATTACTTTTTTTATTCATTGTTTTCTATAATAGACTCAATGTACGGGGAGAAATTTATACAAATCTCCCATGACCCACTTCTAAATACGTCACATTGGGAAATGGTGTCAGTGGGCCGTCAAGCGTGAGCTCTTTATGCCCCCCCCCCCAAATGCAAACCTACACACAGGCCAGCCGTCGGGTTTCCCCATCTGCAGACCACACTCCTGGCCTGAGGGATGCCTGGTTGACTGAAAACACTGCATTTAAAGCATTCGCAGTCCACTCTCCCTAGGTTTCTGGTTGGGTTCGCTCCACTCCGGAGGGAAGGTGTTGCGTTACCACCCCCCACCACCCATGGAGTCCTTTACTTGGGAGAGAAAGCTGGGACGAAACGGTCGCCTAGAACGGCTTTCTCACGGCCACATAACTAAAATCATCGGCATGGGTTTTAACTGACACCCAATCCTCATATCCATCAACGGCAACAAGTAATCATGTTATGACCTTGCTACTCCCCTTGCGTTGGGAGTCATGCATTTGGGCTTGGGTTTTTTGTTTCGGAAGAACGGTACTTCCCTACTAGTTTGCCACGCCACAAAGAGGCAAACCCCATGTGGATGCCCCTGAGTTTTCTCTGAGACGCTTTCCTCAAGAGCAGGAACCAGGATCCACTTCTAAATCGACCACGCCTTTTATTCCTCTGAAATATTTTTTTAATAAGTCGGCTTTTGAATGAATATATTTTATGTAGTTAAAAATTCATATTTCTTGTTTGAAGTTTAAAATAGGAGGCTTATTGAAATCATCAGGAAAATAACTGAATTTAAAAAAGCAGAATTTTTAATTAAATCCCTGTTGGATAAAAAAACAAAGAAAAGAAAGAAATCCTCTATCTATCTAATAAAGACATATTGTTAAACTAGCTATAGCCCACCAAACAATGGAGGCAGCTATGCATGAACTTCCCATCTTCTATAGTTACTTGACAAACATGTGTTCATATAACGCACTTTATAAGATTCCAAATTAGAGCTACCTCCCTGGTAGGCCACCTTCCCTGAACTTTATTAATCTTCTAATGTCCCACCCCCTTTTACACCGAACATTTATGACACCAACTATTTCTGAAAAATAAAATTAATTACAAAGCACTTGCAGTATCGTTAAGAATCTCATTTAGCACAGTTTCAGTAATTCATTCAGTAATTTTATTCAATGAATTCAGGGCCATCTGGTGGCATTAGTGACACTACATACAGAATTATGTATTTTGATTATAAAACTGATTAATTTCTTTTTATTAGAAAAATTCTCATGGTTCAAATAAATGGTTGAATAAAAAAACAATATTTAAAATTGATATGTTTACTTGTTGAAGGAAGTTTAGGTGATAATTAATTATCTTTACAGTCGGGAGCTAATGTGTGGACTAAGAATAAATACAACCTAACTCCATTAGATGTTGCTGCCTCATTCAACAGACAGGGTAAGCTGAACTGAATGTGTTGCAGATAGTGTAGTCTTAAATTTTTTAATAAACGTGTACAAATTGCAAAAATATATTATCATAATATTGTATATTTTATGTAATGCAATGGAGTGTCTATAAATGTGTATAGCTATATCATTAAAGGCAAATTGACAAAGAATTTATTATGTTACTAATTTCAAAGTCCATTGTATAGTGTTGAATTTATTTGTAGACATTCATGAATCTACCTTGCCTTCCCCCCCATACATTTCTATTAAATTTTGGGATTAAAATGCATTGTCTTTGAGCTGTGATCTCTTGAACACCCTTTTGAAGGATTTCTCATAATGTTTGTAATATAAAATAACTGGATTGATTTTAAATCATACAACACCCAAATATGAGGTGTGTTGAATTAGGTTTTTTTAAACATGGACCCTCAAAATGCTAACAAAAAAATAAATGCCCAAAAAATATGTGAGTAAATGCCAAAGAAACGTCTTTTGTGCTTTAAAAAATGCCCTTTGAAGGGATTGATAAGATACCTCTTGCTATTCTACTTTTGTGGACTTTATGATAAGTAGACATAGCACATGATTTTTATTTAAGATTTGAGGTTTCCAGGGAAATCTTCTTCCTTGATTGGCAATAAATAATAATATTTTTTTTATCCAAGATTTAGTTAAGTAAATTTAAATATATTCTCAAACATTTTGATTATGTCTTAGATGCCGTCACAGCATTACTTGGCTATGTGCCAACTCTGAGTGAAAATCATTGTGCTATTGTTGAAGCAGCTTTGCGAGGCTTTAAGAACATTGTTGAGTTATTGCTTGAGCATGGGGTCAACCCTAATTACATGGACAGAAACCTTGGCTCATATGCTTTGCATGAGGCTATAAGATTTAACAGGTATGGTTATTAATCTTACTGCAAATTTAAATCTTTAAATAAATTTAAAAAAAAAAATAAAATAAACCTCTGGACAATGTTTGTGAGCTTATGATGTTGTAATAAGCATAGGAATACACGAATGGTGTAAGTCTATCTTCAAGGAGTCTGTCTTCAGCGAAGGAAATGAATGAAATAAAAAAAACTTTAAAAAAAACAACAAACAATGAACATGTCAGCAAGAAGCCTTCATCAGCGAACAAGCAGCTGTAAAAACAGGAGGAGGGGGCAGAGAAAAGGTTTAACAGGCGAATGAGACCATGACATTCATGCCATGTGGTGTGAAGGTTCCTTACATAAGTCTGCCAGATGTACTGAATACCTCAGTAAAGTTACCCAAGATAAGCAGTGTACTACCTCTAAACACTTCCATATAAGTGACCATAAGGGATCTGCGGATTTTACTATCAGTGCTATCGGGACCTGTACTGACACACCAAACTGGATGACTTTGGAAAACAAGTTGATCCAGACTCATGATACCTTGACACCACTTGTCATGTTTCCATTCTCCGCCCCCTTCTCCTTATGACCAATCACAGTGGACTTACTTTTCCTCTCTTGTTTCCCGTTTTGCTTGTATTTAATCTCTCACTTACTTATGTTTTGTCACATGCCTCTTGCTGTCCTCTCTGATACTACATGTGAGCTAAGTGTTATTTTTATTTAAATCTGTTCTTACTGTTGTTTGTTCACTAATGAACTTGCCGACACATTCATTGGTTTTTTGCATTCTTTTTTTTCAGGTTTCTCATACTTTGTTTCACTCATTTCCATTTTTTTTAACCTGATTGCAGTCTTTCCCCCTTATTCTCATCCTTATTACCATGTCCTCAGCAATAAATATGGAAAAGCAAATGATTTTCACATCAGTTTTCTCAAACCATTTTAAAGGCTAAAACCTTTTAAAGAAGTATGTAACACTGCTTTTTATTTGGAGAGAAAGGGGGTGATTTACTTTCCAATATTTTTCAAAACATGCATCTTTAAAAAAAAATGAATCCCGTACCTCAGACTTGTTAACATAATATAGCTAGAAATATTTTTTTAAAAGAAATACAGAGATTAGTAAGTATTTTTCAATTAATTATATTATGCATATAAATATCTTGGATTCATTTGAAGAAATCTGGGCCACTGCCTAACATAGTGCAAACTAAATGCCTATTTAGCACTCGTCCGTCCGCTACTAGAATATGTTGCGATACTCTGGGACCCATACCTAAAGCAAGATGTGGACAAGATGGAGCGAAAACAACGCAACACTGGGCTTCATCACAAGTGACTACAAACCCACCATCCCTGGCTTGGTCACTGACCTCTTAAAAAGATTTGACATCCCCTCCCTCAAAGACAGACAAGAAAAGCTCCATCTAATAGTTCTCTATAAATCGGCCACGGGGCTAGTGCCGGTCATTCCAGCTAACATGACTTGTATCTAACCCCGCAGAAGCCTGGTCGCTTAATTATAGCCAAACGCTCAATAAACACTGACTTCACCTCTGACAACTCCATGAGAAGTTACACCCGCAACAATGGTAAATGCTTCACTGTGCCTCGGTGTAACACAGTTCAATGTAAAAAAATCATTCTTCCCATGAACAATAATTGCTTGGAACCAACTGGACAATGCCGCAGTGGACTCGACATCAATCGGGATTTTCAAGGCTGCCCTGGCACCCACTACAAGCCATTAGGATAGCCGCATCGTTTCCCAAACTGTTGCAAATATGCCAGTACTTGGATGCATCAACGTAGCCTATCAGAATCTTTCAACTGAGCACTGCTGTGTACTAGTAGTTTTGTGTTTGATTTAATTATAAAAGGAGACATTAATTTTTACTTAATTAACATTGTTATTTTAAAAAATATGTGAGTAAATTTGTTCCTTCTTGCTCAAATGTACAAAAATAGTAACAAATTGTTATGCCTTTGTTTTCTTTTAGGCCTGATGTTGTGGATATTTTACTAGCTTTTCAAGCAAATCCTCAGTTGTCAAATATGAAAAAAGAGGTAGACCAATAACCTTATCTGGACTAAAATATAAGCTATTTAAAAATTAAAATCATGAAAAATATTTAAGGTAACACTTAACGAATTTTCCCTCATTCTTTGAATGACTCATTGCATTTCTACTTGTATATAATAATTATTATTTCTTTCTATTATTATTGAGACACCAAAATCCCTTGCTGCACAGTTGCCTTCTCAGTCAGCTGAGAAAATAAACCACCTTATTGAAGGTACTTTTATTTATACAAATTTGCTTATTGTTAACACAAGTATATTCAGTATAAATTCAAAGTTGATCCGTTTGCAGAATTCCTTGATATTATAATTCACATAACAAATTATATAGTGTCACAAATGTTTTAGAGGACCATAAAAATATATTATAATGGTATTTTAAAAAATGATTTTTAGAACCTTACTCACAGGATATGGTCAGATTTGCCTAAATTTTTACAAAGCTGCAGCTTTTGGCCTCCGAAAAAAAATGTCAGAATTGAGATCAAGGCAACTTAATGTTAAAATTGTAATTACATATTTGGATTCATTTTCAAGTTTAAGTAAATGGTTTCTGTAATATCTTCATCTGCTATTGTTGTTTTTTTAGTGCCTCCAAACTTCTAATTACTTTGCCCTTCATTAAATCTAAATCTGGTTTTGCATATGACTTAAAACATAGTTGTAGTATAGAAAATATTTTTCAACCATTAGTAATGCTATTACTTACCTATCTATAATCTATTGCTTTAATAGCAAATAATATTCAATCATTTAGTTTAGATATGTATTCATTTTTATTAACCTCATTTGGCTTTACCAAAAACAACATAATTTCAGACTAAATTATTTGTTAGAAAACATAAAATTGATACTCATATAGATCTAATGTACTATGAGTATTTTATAAATTTTCATGTATTTCTTTTCTCTTTGCTCTCAAATTTTTCAAAGGGAGGTGAGTTTACATTTAGTAGGCATGTTCTCGACTTAAGTAACCTATCCATTAAAAACAAATTGTGACGTAAGTGACAAAAAGATATTAAACTAAATATAAACACATGAAGGTTGTTTCTTTTCTATTCACTTTTCTCATTTCTTTAAAAAAAATAACTCAAATTATAGAGGTAGCCATATGTTCATCATTTGTTTTGCTTATACATATTGATAATAAGATCTGAATATTTTTAACAATATTGCATGGAAGAGATAAGTAAATCATAAACTGTTTGAAAGTAGGTTTGAGGAGCTTGCATTATAAAAAAATATTTTTAAAAAGAAAATGAATGTGCTTGAAGTATGTACTGTGTGTATTTAAAAAGGATTTAGTTTATTGCCATTAAAGGCAATTTTGCCCTCTATCCAGTTTAACTTAGTACTTGTACACCTTTTCATTTGACTCCATTTGACGAACTGATTAACCTGGCTAGAATAACACATTTTAGATTTAATAAATTAAGTGACTTCACTATAAAAAAAAAATACTCCTATACTATAAGCAATACAAACATTGACAAGAGAATAGCACAATATAACCCAAACAAATTCTTTTGTTTACACATATTCACATCTGCCATCTTGGAAACAAATGGCTAGATCTAAATGTCATCAAACCAGAGACTTGATTATCCATGATCTTGTACTAAAGCTGAGTCCGTTTAACCAAAAAGTACAGACTCTTTTCAAAATGTCAGTGTACATTGTAGAACCCAACAGCTTTTGTGATCACAAAATGATTCACTGAATGCAATCCATTTCCATTTATTTGGAGCAATAAAAGCATCCTATCTTTATCTTATTTTATTTAGAATCTTCAATTCTTTTATCTGTCAAAAAGTGACATAATGTGTCACTGTCATTTCTTTAATTGCATGCAGTATAAGATGACATTAATCAACCTCCAGTCCTTTAAATAACTGTTAGCCTTAAGTTTGTTTGAATTTAATACTCTTTGCTCCACTAAATAAAATCATCTCACTTAAATTGTTATACTAAATTTGTTAATTTGCTCAACAACTTTTACAATTTTTCTCTATATTTTATAATTTTCTTGTTTTATACACATTGCTGTGGTATAGAGTATAAATATTATACAGAGTATAAATATAGTTTAACTTGTATTTTTAAGTGTATATCTCTGTCTAATGATATTTCATTATCGGACACTAATTTTACAAATTACGCTCCTAATACCACTGAGTGTTTTTAATATTATATTTTTGCTTTGGTGACTGTTCATAAATGTTACAAAAAAAGCATTAAGTTAACTTCTTTAAATTATAATTAAACAGCCAAGTATGGTAAATCAGTGTTTATACATTGAACAAATCAAATCCATCAATTCTACTCCCTAAAAAGTGTTCAAAAATTAATTACACTCCTTATCTTATTTTTAATAAAATATTTCTGTTAAACAACATTATGTTGCATGTTATTTGTCAAAGAAATGCTTCACTTAACTAAAAATGTAAAAATTCCACACAAAAAAATGCATTTATAAACTAATGTTGTAGCATGAAATAAATTTTATGTTTGATTTATTTCTCAAAACAAGTTGCTCCCCCTCTTCTCCTACCCAAAAACAATTATCCAGAGACCCATTTTCATACTAAGTCATATGTTTAGCATGTGGATCTTGATCCGCTTCAATAAAGTCAAAATAAATTTTCACTATTTTTCTAGTACCGGTAAAAGATATTTGTATTATTTGAGTAGGTTCATTCTTACTTCTGCATATTCAAATTTTCAAATTCAATAAGTTTTTGCGAATATATGTGGAGAAAATATATAATATTTTTGTGCATCCTTGACAAGAGGTGTATGGCATGTTTGCTTTGCAGCATTTGAAATAAGCTTTTAAACCACAGATAGTTGAATATTTTTTGCCAAATTTATTTTTTTTAAAACTTAAGTAGGAAACAGTGTACTTGTTGAAATTTTAAAGAGGAAAATCAATTGTCGGAATCAGATCTTTTAGGTGAAATGTAATAAAAGAATCTCTTATATATATTACGCTTCTGGTGTGACTCTTGGTCTGCTTCCATTTCTGGCTGCTTCCTATTCAGCGTATTTGGTATTGAGAGTATATTACAAATAGTTCCGTATGTTTGAAAGAAAGTATGGTTCAATAATGATTACTAGCACCCAGAATATAATTCCTGATAACTAAGCTTAATGCTACATTATTTTTTTAATAATGCAACTGCGTTTGGTGTGTAATATTTCCTTTTCGGAATGAAATCATTTCAATTTATGTATGGTGTAAAAAATTTTAGGTTTAAAAGTGGTTTGGACATCAGAATATTTAATATAGTTCATGGGCAAGAAATAAAAAGCGTGCAGTGACGTATCATTGGGTGAAGAGGTGTAGCAAAAATTGGGATTCTTAAATGTGCGTTGCTTGAGATTATGTTTTGTCAAGTAACTTTAGTAGATGGGAAGTTCCCACATTGCTATTGCCAATGTTTGGGGGCTATATCCAGTTTATATATATTGCACTACTAGATTTCTCATTAATTTCCACCCCATTCAAAATCTAATTTGTTTTCAAATTTGTGATACTTATTCTTATTATTTTAATATTAAATATTTCTCTTGGTAAAGCTTGATATTTTTTGTATTATTGTGAAGTACATAAAGTTTGAAATTTGTAATCTGTCAATTACAACCAGATTTCTCATCATGGCAATGCACATTAATATATTAAATTCGTTTTGATTCCCTAGAGCAACAGATGAGACCTCCGAGATTTCCAAAAATAACAAGAAGATCTGAATCGCCAGTGACACCTCAAGAACGGGAAAGCAAATGGGGTCATATTAAACGTACTAAATTTTATTATCACATATTTAAAAATCCTCGAACTTAATTTTGTAGTTGTTGCCTTTATCCCTATGAAAAATTACCTGGGACATTCCAGGATAGTTAGGAAATTAAAAATAATTTTTTCCAGCCATGAAGGTAGTTAATGATCACTTAAAATGAGCTCTTGTCTTTAAAAAAAATAAAAATTCTGTGCTCTCTGCTAGATTATCCTCCACTACCAAATGACATAACTTGGACACAGAATCGACCACTTTATTGCAGCTCATGTACTGAGAAGAACCCCAACTCACATATACTGGATGGTTTGTGTTTTGTTAAGAGTTTAAGTATACGTTTTATTTAAGTGTAAATAAATAGTTTCCCTTGTATTAATGAATACTGTAAAAGAAATGAATGATGCCCACTCTTCTGTGTTCGGTGTAACAACTGATCTTTATTCTCCATTATACACCCTTTTTATACCTCACAATCATGATCACTCATTCCACTTTTCCAAGCATTTAAGTTTAAAACATTCATGAATAAAAGCAACTCACCACGTCCAGTCACACCACATAATAACAACACAGGCCAATCAGGTCATAAAGTTACTACTAGCAATGATAATCGTTAATCATACTTACTATCACTAAAACCGGTACGGTACAAGCTTAAATGGATGTAAAAATGATACATTTGTTGAAGTATCCAGAATGAAGGCAGTGGGAAGGATCACATTGCCTGACATCTTTAACAATAGTAAAGATATTGGCACTTAAGTGATCTGTGGGGGGAAATGTGATCTGCAAGATCAATAAAGCAATGAGGATAGTTTGCATATTTGGTGTCCAGCTAGTAAATTTTGAATCCCACATTGTAATGCATTTTATTTCCTTTATGTAAAACATTCACTAGATTGTAAAAACTCCAGCTTGAGCTGTGCTTAAATTTTCTTAAGTTCAAAGCTTATGTAGCTTTGAGTCACTCAGGATGAAAATTTAAATCTTCCAACAGGTAACCCATGCACATTTTGGGTGATCCCTGTATTACATGATGCTTGGACAATCCTTGACCTTCGCAATGATCATATCATCACTGGTATAACAATATTTGGCTGGTAAGTGTTAAAGAATTGTTCAAAATAACAAATCATATCAAATAAGTTTTATTTAACACAATTTTTATATCGTTTGATTTCTAATTTTCAGAAATAAATTTAAACATAATAAATGATGCTTATTTAATAAATAATATTTTGATGTTAGTGTTAATTTTATTCCTTGTGAAACAAGAGGAACTTCCATTGCTTGCAGTTGACCCTTTGTTACGCAATGTTATCAGTAGGGAGAAATTAATCTTCTATTTACATGTATGGCTCGTTCCAAAACAGTGCATAACAAAAGATGATACCAAATGATAAAAACAATAATAAATAATATGATACTCGAAACAGGGCTAATTACAATTAATAATTTTTTATAAGTTAATAATAAAGTACCAAAAGTCAAAAAGAAATATAATTTTAAGAAACTATTAACTTACAGTATATTGTGTGGCTGGTACCAGTACAATGTCGAATAAAATGCGCAAAAAGGTATAATTAATGAAAGGAAATATACTGTTAACAAAGCACTCACATGTTCCAAAATAACTCTCTCATGCTGTCTGCGTCTTTCTCCCCTGCAGTCTGCTATTTCATTCAACCACTGGCCGTATTTTTAGTCTTTTCCATAGAAAATTCCAGACGTATTACGCATTTTAGTAGTGACTCAAACGTTCTACAATTTTCTATCAAATTCGAGTCAAGAAAACAAATGATAGATTGGTTTGTGGTAAAGAAGATCAAAGGGAGTAAGCCACCCCCAATACTAACGCAGGAGAATTTTTGGTCAGCTTAAGGTCGTTCATCAGGAAAGGATTAAATGAGAGTAAAATATTGAACGCCTATATGTAACACCCTTGGAGACTAAAGGGCCGATGAGATCGGCCCAAGAGTCGATTGGCAAAAAGGTGAGTTGCCAATCCTTCGGCCCAAGCCTTCAAGTTCTTGAGATTGGCTGGCTGGTCTTAATACCAGCTAATCAGATTGCTTCTCACATTTGTTGCACATCTCAGATTAAAATGGCGGCTTCATTGATAGTTTAGGGTGTTTAGGAAGCATAAGTGCTCCCAGTGGAATTCATTATGCTGTCTTACACATTGAATATCATTTAAATCTTTGTTATGACAGTTAAGGTCAGGTCTTGTGGTTTTTAAGCAGATATTTTACGCTGCCAAGAAGCGTGTCAATCAGATTGTTTGTCGTGCAAAGACTACGTATTTTAGCCAAAAGATAACTATGGGTAAAAACAGCAGGCAGTTGTTTGATGTTTGTGGTCACCTTAGGGGGAGTAACAAAGGAACTGCGCTTCCTTCGGTGTTTCCCCTGCCCAAGCAACCAGATATTTTCTGTAATTTCTTTACAAGCAAAGTAGCTGACATTCGAGCTGAGCTTGATCGTCTTGATGCCCCTCCCCTTGAATTGCCTCCTTTCCCTTGTCTTACTTCCCATTTTAATATTTTTAAACCTGTTTCAGAACTTGAGGTAAAAAATATAATCCTAAAATCTAAACATACGTCATGTTATTTGGATCCCATCCCAACCCCCCTGTTGGTTGAGTCATTAGATATCTTGCTCCCAACAATAACCCGCATAATAAATGAAAGCTTATATTCTGGCACTGTTCCGCCTCTTTGCAAATCAGCTGTCATCAAACCATTGCTTAAGAAGCCCGGTCTGGATGAAAATAATTTAAAAAACTATAGACCTGTATCTAACTTATCATTTTTATCTAAAGTTATTGAAAAACTAGTCCTAAAACAACTTTTTGCTTACTTAAATGATCACTCTCTTCTCAGTTCTAATCAGTCGGCCTATAGACATTTCCATAGCACGGAGACAGCTCTCTTGAGAGTCAGTAATGACCTCTTGCGCGCAATGGACAGCGGTAATGTCTCCATTTTGATCCTCTTAGACCTCAGTGCGGCCTTTGACACTGTTGACCATGAAATCCTTTTCAAAACCCTTGAAAACTACTTTGGAATTTCTGGTTCGGTTTTGGCTTGGTTTAGGTCCTACCTCTCTGATAGAACGCAAATGGTCTCTGTCGATGGCTGTCTCTCCGGCAGTGCTGATTTGGTGTACGGAGTGCCACAGGGGTCCGTTTTGGGTCCGGTTCTATTCATAATGTATACCAGACCACTACTCCTCTTGCTCGGGAGGCATGCTGTTGAGAACCAGTCATTTGCAGATGATACACAGCTATACATGCATACCCATCCATCTCTTGTCGATTCCGCTGTCCAGACTTTGCGGGGGTGCATTGATGATGTCAAGTCTTGGATGACACTCAGCAAGTTGAAGCTTAATGATGACAAAACAGAAGCACTCCTCATTTACAATCACAAATCATCCTCTACCTCAACTCTTCCCACCTCATTTCAAGTAGGTAACTCCGACATACAGTTTACACCCTCTGCTAGGAATCTTGGTTATATTCTTTCTAACAACATGTCTCTCGATAAACATATCTCTCACATTTGTCGTTCGGCATACACCGCCATCCGTCAGATCAGCTCCATCCGCCACTACCTGACAGTTAGCGCAACAAAAACTCTAGTCTGTGCTCTTGTTCTCTCTCGTCTTGACTATTGCAACTCACTTCTGTCAGGTTCACCGAAACATTTTATAGAAAAACTGCAGAAAGTTCAAAACTCTGCTGCTAGGCTTGTTCTTAAGGCAAAAAAACGCGATCACGTCACTCCACTACTCCACTCACTACATTGGCTCCCTATACAGGCACGCATTGACTACAAGCTGTCTCTTCTCTGTCACAACTTTTTCTCGGATTCCTGCCCTTCCTATCTAACTGAACTTCTTTCTGTCTATTCACCCCTTCGACAACTTCGCTCCTCCGCAGACTCGCGTATTCTGTCCGTTCCCAAGACACGCACTAAATTATATGGTGAACGATCTTTCTCTTTCTGCGCCCCCAAACAATGGAATTCTTTGCCACTACACATCCGCAATATAACAACCACACAGGCCTTCAAAACTGCACTCAAAACACATCTATTTAAACTATACTACTCTGACTGATTCTCCTCCTATAAACCGATAAACGTACATGGGTTTCCTTGTAAAAATGTCTGGTGTGGGTGGATGAATATACCTATGGTGTTGTTTTGCTTATATGTTGTTTTTATTTCATTTATGTATTTTATTTTAATATTATGATTATGCCTCTTTGCTATATATGTACAGCGCGGTGAGCCCAGCCCTAGGCCGGGGGTACCGCGCTATATAAGACCACTTATTATTATTATTATTATGACCTATTGAACCTCCAATAATCAGAAAATTGACCCAAATTCTGCAAGTAAGTCTTGTTTATTTTGAGTGTTAAAAAAATGTGCATGCATAAATTATTCAAATCAGGATAGTTCATTTGAATAAATGATTATGTTTTAGCTTGATTCGTAAAGATGGCATTAGTTCATTTAATTTCCTACTAGAATGCATAGTTTTATGCATGTAATTTTATATCTTTTTTTTGCAAAATAAATGTAGGGTGTGTGAAAAGGCTCCGTCTTCTTGGAAATGAAACTCCAAGAAAGCTGTTTTTACTTTAAAGGGTTAAAGAACATTTTATGAACTTATGTTAATATGTTCACCTTTTTTATTCCACAGGAACAGTAATCAAATGTTGAAAACATTTCTTCTTCAAACCTCAAACTCAATGGAGTAAGTAATTAACCTAATTCTCTCAAATTTATTATAGTTATTCATTTTGTGTAGTTCACATAGATTGCAAATATCATACAAAGATGCATTGCGGTAGCGCTACTGAATTTTTGTGCGAAACTGCATATGCTACTTTTTATAATGCGAAGATATTTTTGAATAGGACGAAGGATGTAAAAATGTATTCAAATTATTAATGCTATAGTAAAAGCAAGTGATTGCTCAGTCCAAAGCTCATGGGTTTGTATCCTGGATGTGACTATTTCAATTAAAAGGACATTTTTGAATTCTATCCCCATTGAAGATGATAATAATAGAATATGGAACTGTGTGACTTAAAATTGGGTTCAATAATATCTTTTTTTTTTATGCACTTCATGTTTTTAGAGGTCCATGGACAACAGTTACCTCCCATTCATGTGAACTTCTTGGCAGCACTGACCCAAAAGAGACAGGTATTACTGCTGCTGCTATTCTTGGATTTTGGAAGCCCTATTTTTTTTTTTAAGGAACATAAAATATCATTAACAAAGCACAACTGCATAATATCTGGGACTATTTAATTACATTTTAGATGCATGTATATCTTAGATAAAAACATTTCCTTAAACCCAATTTTTACATTCATGTTCATCATGGGAAAGAGCAAAAATATGGATTAGCAATATTTCCAAAATCACACATTTTGTTGCACTTCTATTCCTATCATTTTTGTGTTTTTAATTGTGAAAAACAAAACCCCTCTTTCTCCGGGTTAATCTGATTAATGATTGAAAATTATGGGCACTTTTTTTTACCAAAGCCTTTGAACTTTAACTGTTCCCTAGGAATAAGTTTTTAAGCGATAAAAATAGTTACTTCATTTCCATTAAGACTCCGCTATAAAATAAGTTGTTTAGTTTTTTTAAAATCAGTTTTATTTGAAAATTAATATTGTCTTTCATATTGTACCCAGCGTTCCCTCAGAAGTTTGACGGCTTTACATTTCGCAGCCGTTACATTCGTCTCTACCTTGTGGACAATCATAATGGAAGCTACATTTGTTTCCAAGGTATTGAACTTCATGGAGCTGACTGTAAAGTAATAGACGCCTTAAGTGATTGTGGCTTACATGAAGCTTTAGACAGTGTCATAACCAAGGTTCGATTCTACTTAAATCTTCTTGATTATACAGTTTTATGGCAAATAATAGATTCTACTCTACTCAATTTGATGTAGCTTTACCTATTCTATTTATGCATGCTTATATTGTAGATAAAATGCTCTATCACTTAGTTACTATTGCATGTTTTAGATTAAACTATAATTTAATAGCTACTCAGTGGTATTCAAATTTGAGGGGACTAAAGATGTCCTGTTCAGTTCCCTTCTAGACCATTGGAACTACTCCTTTTTACAGTAGTGCTTGTGAAGGAGATAAATTTCATGATAGTAGAGTAACTCTGTTGAAGCTTGGAGGGAACTACTGACTTGAAACCATGCCATTGATACCCTTTAACCACAAGAATCAAGACATTTGAAATACTGTTCAAAGTTCCTTTTGATGAAAATATCTCTATAGCCATTGTAAAATATACATTGCCCCCAACCCCCTTTCCCCCCAACCAGCTACTTGATATGAAGTTTTGATCATTGTTATTATAATCTTTATGATTTATACTCATTTAATTTATTAATAACTCAATTAATCGTCTCCCCTAATTTATCATCCAATTTATCAATTTTAAATTTTTTTAAAGCAGAGTGAGGAGGGGTACATTGTTATTCTTTTTCTATGAAATAAAGTTCCTTTTTTCACTGAATGTAATAAATAAATAATGTCTATAAAATGGCAGGGAATCAACACTTGGAAGCGGCTTCTTGATATCTCACAGTCACTGGTTGATGAATTGGTAAGGCTTCTATGTTGTAAGTCTTCTAAATACTTCTATGTGAATTTGGACATGATTTTCCACAACAGAAATGCAAAAGTTTACAACCTAATGAATTTTTTTAAAAATTAGAAAATTCAGAAAAAATGTCCCCATCCCATCTGTTCCTTATTTCTTATTGCTTTCAAATAATATTAAACATCAAAATAGGTTGTAAACCAACCTGGTGTATATAAATTGGCATATTTTATGAAGTTAAAAATAAATTCATGATAAAGTAAAAAAATTTCTAGATAAAGATTTTTGAAATAAATATTTTTGCCTGTAGTAATAGTAAAGAAAAAAATATATGAACACGGATATCAAAGTTGAAAAAGTTTATTTCAAGAGAAAAAAAAAGGCATTTATAAGTGTCATAAATGTTCTTTTCTTTAATATAAAAAAAAGATGGAAGCAAAGCGTACATTTTAATTTAATTTTTAACTTGAAAATTCATTAATTTTACTTCACTTTTGTAAAAAAACGTTAAAAGGAATCTATAGCATGCACAAAGCAACACAGTCCTTTTCTTTAAAGAAAGATTTACTTATCACACATTGACTTTTCTTTAAATATAAGGCACCTCAACACATCTTTGATCTGTTAATTCTCAGCATGCTTTATGTTAACAGCTTTGCCTTAGCTAACTATAAATACGTTGATGTGTTTCTTTGTCAAGGTGTCTGACCAAGTAAAGAAGACAACATTATGGGAAATTATATACAGAGAGAGAAAAAAAAGTACGTACCGGCATGCCAGTGACAAAGGAGCAGACTTTTTATTCATGGTAGCTAACTTTTCATGATGGCTAACTGTTCATAACAAACAGCCCATGAAAATCTCACATAAAATTACAAGTGCATAAAAAAAAAATCATAAGGTCATTCATAGTGATATAGCTATGTATTATTTTTAGTTGTTGCTTTAAATTAAATTTAAAGTTAATCAGTACTGGGTAAAATCATTTAATTGCTATTAACATTTTCTCAGTGTATCCTATGACTGTTCTCACTTGGATTGTTCCCCCACCTGCCACAGTATTTGTAGATGAAGTGCTCCTTGATTTCAGTGTCCAATCAGATCCTGGCGTTACTGAGGTTGTGCAGATTGTTGTTCAAAGTAAGATTAAATTATTAATAGTTTAAGATCATTATTCAGATATTTATTCAGTGCTAACAAATAAAAGTAAAGGCTCAAGAATTTGTGATGTAAGTTAATATTTAAAATAATGATTACCAAACACCAAATACCAAATGACTACCAAACAGCAAATGACTGTCTACCACACAAAAAATAACTACCAAACACAAAATGACTATCAAAACAATATTATGGGTCTAGACTAGCAAAGTTTTATATTCAGCCAATAACTATTAAATCCACTAATGAATGCAATACTTTTTGCTTGTTATGATTTACACTTTTACTTAAATCTCTCCTCATTTATTTACTCAAACCAATTATTTCATTTATACTAGAATCTTCTTGTTTTAACCACCAGAAACAAATGTCAAAGCTTCAGATCTCCCACGAATAAATTCAACTGAGATATATTTTCAAGTCAAGATAAACTAATTATCTTGCACCTTGCAAAAATTTTTTTACTTGACGTTTACCTTATTACTAATATTACAAAGACTATTTAAATGTATTCTATTAATTTAATGTTGCTACCTGTTCTGAATATTTAACATGAGTTGTAAAATGACCACATAATCAAAAGATACTGATAGTCCTGATTGTTTTTTTAAATAAATGATTACAATACACAAAGCTTTGTTAACAAATTTGTTTAATTTCAAAGTGATTTTATTTTTAAACCCTCAGATGCCCAAATCTCTGGCAACACTTGTAGACGATTTGCACCAAATGGTGAGGGAAAACCATCTGTTGCCACATTTTCTAACATCTCACTCAAACCAGGTATTTATTTGTTTTATAAAGTGACTAATAGAATGTAATATAACTGAGTGAATAAAACTTCTACTTTATTAACGATGATGTTTCTGGCGTCAAATTTTTGTTTAATATCAAGACATATAATAAGTTACAGTTAACAAAAGCTGTTGAATAAGTTCAAAGACCATAGTTTTTAAACCCGTCTTAGGATCATTTGTAGAAGGGGTTTGGGGTTAAACCCATAACAGCATAAGGGGGAGAGGGGTTGACATTGAACTTGGTCATTAAACTAAGCAAACAGTTTTATGCTTACTAGTTTGCGACATAAATACTTACCTACTTAATAAGCTGAAATTATGATGCTGACAAGAATAAGCCATAATCCCTGATGCTTTATTCTGAGATTGAGATCAGAAAAAATAAAAAAAATTTAAGTCCATATTATTATTAAGACCAGAAGAAAATGATCTGTCGTAGCTTTTTGATGATGCTGTAAAAAAAATATAATCTATATCATTTATTTTGCAATGTAGACACAAATTAGTTAACTTTTAGTTTTCCTACCAGCTGGCATGTATCACTTGATGGTGAAAGGAGTCAGCACAGAAATCACTTTACTTGCTCCAAGACTTATTGAAGTCCGTAAGTAATGTCATAATCAAAACAGGATAATTTTATGTTGCATAAAGACATTGAAAACTAGGTGTATCTTTAGTACACTCTACTCAGAATTATTTGTCTGCTAAGCACCACCAGTCTGTGAGCTTTCTTTTGGTGGTAGAAAAAGTTGAGATATTTAAAAGGGGGAAAAAATTTGCTGGACTGTGCATACTTCTTGATACAGTGTAGTAAGGTTTTAAAACCACTGCTCTACTTATTACTGTCAATAACCTAAGGGTAAGTATGAGAACAAATAACAATAACCTCAGGGTGTGTGTATGAGAACAAATAATAACAATGTAAACATTTGAAACGCTTACTTGCTGTATTTACACCTTGTTGTCTCAAATTTATTTCAAACTGCTAAATGAGAGATCAGTTTTACTAAATAAAACATGCAGCCTTTTTAAAACAAAAACCTTTTCTTGTTATTTTTCTAAGGTCCTGAGGTGAGATCAGAAAGTGACATTTCAAATGCGTTTGATGAGATACAGCAGATGCTTAGTGAAGTTCAGGCATCATTCTCAACTAATAACTGATCGGAAATGTCAATAAATTCTTTTTAATTGTTCTAAAAAATCCTTCAGCACTTGGCTGGTTAAAAAAGCTGAACCCTTACGGACATGTTCACCTAATTTTTAGTCATAGCCCAGCTAATTTATTATATTCATTGACTGAGCTTGGTTACACCTAAGCTATATGACTGATTTGTCAATTAAGTTTTTTTCAGGGAGTGGGGGATGCAAAACCAAAACTTGGCCAGCTTGTTGAGTTGAAGGCAACACAGTACATAATAATTTAATTTTAAATGAACGAATAGTTCTTTTTTTCCTTATTTAATGTCTGTACATTTGATTTTCTGCTGTCCCAGATACTGATACCTTGTAAAAAAAATCCTTCAAATTGGGAATGAGTGGGTGGATACCCCCAATGCCATTCCACCCCCTTCCCTACCCAAAGGAAGTCCATGAATATGAGTCACTTAAAATAATTCAGGTCAATTGTTTGAGATTATCAGCATTGTTTTGTATAGATAAATGATTTATTTTAAGTAATTAATGTAAAATATTTGTAGATAGACATTTATTTTTTATCTTTTATATACTCTTATTAATTATTGTACATGATGACATACAATAATTGTATAAATTCTTGTGTCATTTTATCTAATAAGAGATTGATTAAATTCTGAAGTCATTTTTATTTCAGAAAACTGTAGGCCTCTGTACATATTATAACTGTCTCAATAATCTGTAGACAGAGTTTTAATTTAATTAAGAGTGGCAGAAACTTTTATATTACCTAAATGTGCAGATGAAAGCTTTAACAATGAAATTCACAACCTGTAACTGTAAATATTGTGTTCAAAATTTAAGCCGTTTAGTAGGTACTCCAACTCAAATTTTTAAATTCATCTGACACACACAAAGAGCATATCATTGGAAAGAGCTGGCTTTAAGCTTTCTAATGACACCAAGATAATCTTTCTATCACTTATAGGAGAAAAGTTATGAATTTTTTAGTGATTTATTTTTCCCCACTATTCGGCTTTGTATTTAATTTTTAAAACTGTGATCGCATTATTACTCTTTTTGTACTATTTTGCTTGTATCTTTTTGGCCATTAAAGTTAGAGCTATCAAATTTGGAGGAGATATTTGCAATACAATGTTTAACAGAATAGAACACATGAATTGTGAATTGACTTATTATATTTGTAAAAATATGACTTTATGAGCATATGGCGTGGATAACGACAATTGACGAAAAATTTAATTTTACAAAAAATGTCATAATTACTAAACCAATAAAGCTATTGCTATAAAATTTTCACTACAATCAGATAATGTACATCTAATAGTAAAGCAAATTCAAAATAAATAAAATGCAGATCAGAAAAATGTATGTGATATTAGAAAAATTATTTAAATAAAAGCTACCGCGGCCGAGAAATTTTTACATTTAAATACATAACTTTTAAACTAATAAAGCTACTGCAATAAAACTTTCAGTACAAATAGATAGTGACAATTTAAATTTAATATAATATTCAAATATTAAAAAAATGCAATTAAAATAATGCTATCCAAAATTCAAAAATGTTACGTAAGTTGTCGAAATTGATGTACATTTTTAAACATTCAGGATATGTTTCATGGCTTCGGAGCTCTGCCTACTCTTAATCCTCATTAATTGGTAAATTAAAAACATCCTCCATTGTAAACAAATTTGGTTGTGTTTTGATCTTCTCCAGGTTGGCAGTGCATTTCCTCATGTGTGGAATTGGAATCCTATTGACAATTGAAAAAAATAATGAACAAATAAAAAAGATATTAGTTATTAGAAACACATTTAAAAAATCAATATTTTTAAACAGGATCCACAATTTTCTTTATTTTATGTACATTTAAATTTGTTATAACATAGAACTAGAGTTTTTCGTGTCACCTCATCTTATCTTTCAATACTAAAATTTAGTAATTAGTATAATTATAATAATAATTATCATTTATGTTTCGAAGTGATTATTCACAGAGCTGTGCGGATAACGCTCGCCGTTATTCACAGATTTCGGTCTGCCGATAACGCTAAACGTTATTCACAGAATGTGATAAATTAATTAATGAATATAAAGTACAAAGTTCTTTATACACATCTCCTCGGTAGAGTAGTGGTCAGTGTCTCCGACCGTCACCCAGCAGACATAGTTCGATTCCCCGTTGGGGAAGCCTCATTTTTATAAATAAAATTTAAAAACAAAATATTTAATGGTTATTTCGTAGTGTTATATTATAATAATATTCTTCCTATAGCTTTCTTTTTCTGTTCACATAGTTTTATTGTTATTTTCATATAGTTTTGTTACTTATGTTACAAGTTTCAATCTATTTTGTTAGAATGTTCATTCAAGTTTCGTTAAAAAAATGTAAACAACATGGACATGCAATATGCA